CATTAAACATGTAAACAATATTGAATTTGTTGTAGGCCAATGAACCGGCGATATCTTTATCTATTCTCTTGGAATATATCTGTTTAAATGCTCAACAGCACTGCCATGTCGGGGTTTGGGGAGATCATTTATCTTTCTAATGAACCTCATCGGTAATTTCGGTTATCATGTGCTTATTCTACTGTTGGCTGCAACCGGAAGAGGGATTATTTTTAAAAACCTACAAAATATAAATGAAAATTCTGACATGTGCCTCATTCAGCATATTGGAAATATTGTATAAAAGTATTTTGAACGAAATGTGAAGACAGGATGTTTCATAAATCACACGCATGTGAGTATATTCTTTATTGTGAGTTACTATATTCTTAACAATTATGCTAACTGAAGAAGTTCACTTTTTACAATCAGTTTAGACACTCGGGTGGCGTTTTACAATCACTTTTAGTCAGTCGTCGTATCTGTATATCAATTGCAAATTATGAGAGCAATTTAAAATTTTAATGCAATCTTCATGATCTTCTTGAAAGAATCGAATTAAAAAAAACATTGTTTTTATCTTCATATATGGTAAGGATGGGAAGCTTCTACAAAACAAATCCCGCAAATTTCTGGACCATAAAATGCTAAGACTATAAATCTTATGGACAGAGTCTATATTTTTATTTATGATAAAGTAGGCTGATTCTACCAAAAGTTTGAATACAATAACAGCAAAACTAGAGTATACTAGAATTAAGTTTAATTTTTTCTGTTTAGAAATATTTTTGTTATTTTTTTCTAGACATCAAAATCTGTTTATCTAGCAGACACACGGAGTACAATACGACAAGAGACCGACCTGTAAAAAAAATGTTACTTTCAAGACTCCAGGCTCAGATGCTAGGATAAAGTTTTATAAGTTTTGTACTGTAAACAAATTTAATGAGCACCAAATAAGTCAACTCTTAGTGCAAGTAAGGATAAGCCATCCTAATACATGTGGAATAAGAAATTATCAAAGAAAAGATCTAATTAACACTAGACATTTCCTGCTGCTATTTCAAGATATAATCAGTGAAAAGCGTTGTCCCAGGATCACATTATTCCTTATTTTCTGCAGTAATATGTTTCGAATTTTTTTATAGATATGGATTTGGTTTGTTTTTTTTTTTATTTTTTTTTTTTGGAGGGGGGGGGGTGTTGTTCAACTTCTTTCTCGAGAATTTTTCACGCATATGGAGACGCTATCACTTGCGGTGGAGAGCTACAAAAATTTTGTCCTATACTCGGTACTTAGGTCCATTGAGCTGTGAGGGATCTTTTTCGTGCCAGCACCTACTGCGACATGGGACCTCGGTTTATACGGTCTCATCCGAAGGACTGGTCTCCAAGTTCAACAGTGGGATTCGAATCCGCGACGCAAGGATTTACACATTTACAATTTATAAGTCTTCCTCAGACGCGTAAGTTTAGCAATGTGAGTTGAAAGTACATTACATTATTTCAGTACTGTGTCATTTATTTATTCTTTTTTTCGATAAAGATTCATTTTGAAAATAAGAAGATTATGAAACTAAGTTTGAAGAAACTTTAATTTGACGACGAGGGACAAATAGCGGATAACTCATATTAGAATTGTTTGATTGAATGTTGTTTAACGTCCCTTTCAAGAGTTTTTCAATCATTTGGAGACGCCACCAGTTGCTTGTGGCCTGAGGGTTACAAATTTTGAACTGCGCTAGGCATTCAGTGCCATTAAGCAGTGAGGGATCTCTTTCGTGCCAGCACCTACTGTGAAACGGGACCACGGTTTATACGGTCTCATCCGAAGGACCGATTTCCACGTCACACAGTAGGATTCAAACCCGCGACGTAAGGATCAACTCCTTGAATGGTTACTTGTTGTTCTAATCAGTTCTAAGAAATATTACACCGAAGTTAAATTGGTCTTGATGAGCCGGTGTATAACCATTCAGAGGAATATTTCTCCGTAGTTAATTTTTAGAGCGATGCATAATATCACTCCTTAGATAAATTTGATTTTGTTAGAAAGCTGTGCGTAGCCGTCCAGGGGAATATTACTCCGCAAACAAGTTTTAATTTGTCTTTTTATTGATGACGGTGTAAAGCCGTTCACAGGAATATTACTCCGTAGATTTCTGTCTCTTGTTAGAGTGGTGTATAGCTGTTTTGGGGAATATTACTCCGTATATACTTTTTTAAATTGTTAAAAGGGTTACATACGAGTAAATGTAGTCGTCCAAGGGAATTTTTTACTCAGACTTTTAGAGCTGTACATCCATGTAGCCGTTCAGAGGGATATAACTGTGTAGATAATTTCTATTTTTATCTTGTTAGAGCTGAGCATACATGTACTTGTAAAGGGGGAATATTACTCCGTCATTAAGTTTTTGCATTTTAGATCTGTACATGTACACAGGTGGCCGGGGGATTGTTACTCCGTTTTGAAGTCTTTCCCCGTAATAAATAACTACGAAGATAATTTTTTGGTTTTTTTGCGTGATATTTTATACGATAAGTTTTTATATTCTTATAATGTTGCAAAGCGTTCCAGAGCAATATAACTCCGTAGAAAAAATATATTATCTTGTAAGAAAAGTGCAAACTTGTCCGGGGGAATATTACTCCGTCTATAAGATTTTGGATTTTAGATCTGTACATAACCGTCCGGAAGAATATTACTCCGTCTTTAAAATTGTGCAATTTAGATTGTTTCATAGCCGTCCGGGGTAATATTACTCTTTCTTTTAGGTTTAGGATTTAAGATCTGTACATGGCCTTCCGGGGGAATATTACTCCGTCTTAAAGTTTTAGCACATAAGATCTGTACATAACCGTCCGGGGGAATATTACCCCGTCTAACTCTTTTTGTTTTTGCATTTAAGATCTGCACATAGCCGCCCGGTGGAATATTACTCTGTCTTTAAGTTTTTTGCATATAAGATCTGTACATAGCCGTCCGGGGGAATATTACTCTGTCTTTAAGGTTTGCATTTAATATCTACATTGCCGTTCGGAGGAATATTACTCCTTTTTTAAGTTTTTTGCATATAAGATTTGTACATAGCCGTCCGGGGGAATATTACTCTGTCTTTAAGTTTTTGCACTTAATTTAGATCTGTATACATAGCCGTCCAGGGGAATAATGTTCTGTCTTTTAGATCCGCATATAGCCGTCCAGGGGAATATGACTCGGTCGTTAAGTTTATGCATTTTAGATATGAACATGGCCGTCCGGTGGAATATTACTCCGCATTTTAGTTTTGCATTTTAGATCTGTACATTGGCGGTTCGGGGAATGTAACTCCGTGAAAAAGTGTTCGCCTTATAAATTTGTACACAGCTGGCTGGGGGAATATAACTCTTTAGATAAGTTTTCGCTTTTTCAGAGCTGTATATAGCATAAGGAGAAATTATTTTTTAGATAATATTTTTACCGTTTTAGATCGTCGCATACCTTTCCAGAGGGATATTACTCCGTAGACAGAATTTGATTTGTTATTGCGGAGTAAAGCTGTCCAAGGGAATATTACTCCGTAGATGTGATTGTAGACGTCCAAAGAAATATTACTCCGTAGATGTGTTTGCAGACGTCCAGAGGAATATTACTCCGTAGATATTAGCAGACGTCCAGAGGAATATTACTCCGTAGATATTAGCAGACGTCCAGAGGAATATTACTCCGTAATACAGATATTGCTTCAATAAGACTTTGCATACTTAGCGTTCTGGAGGAATATTACTATGAAGATAAGTTTCGTCGTAGAGCTGCTCATAGAGGAATATTACTACATAGTTCAGATTTTCTCTCATAATCATCGTACAAAGTCTTCTAGAGGAATATTACCCTGTAGATGAGATTTTGTCTTACTTGAACTGTACACAACATTCTTGTTTTAGTTTAGAGTTGTAAATAACCTTTGAGGAATATTACTCTGTAGAGAATTTTCAGACTCCAGAGGCTTTGTATTGGTCTTCTGGGGGAATATTACTCTGGAGGTAAGGGGTCAAGTTTTTGTCACACTCAAATTGTACATGTATGTATATTTATAGAGGAATGTTACTCCATTGTTCATTTTTTTTGTTGAAATTCTTTTCTAAGTGTTAATAAAATTTTTGAAGAAGATATATTGTTGATTTGTTTCTTCTTATTCTTATAACAGAGACTGTTATGAATCAAATTAAACTCTGAATTGAATCCCGGAAAAGGTACGGTGAAACAAAGTACCTTTTTATTTTGCTGTCCCTTTTAAGCAGTAAATGAACTTGCATCAATTGACTTCATTGTTGAAACTATTATACGACCTGACATATATTGTGTTATTCGAAAAATGCACTGTGATATAATAAAGACTCGCTTCTAACCTTTAGCAATTTTGACATATGATTTCCTGTTTATTCTAAAAGAGTGTTATGAAAATGTCTTACAGCTGCTATGTTGCTTGTTTTGTCATGTTTATTTACTGTAACAGTTGACCAGAGTGATTGATGATTTTTTTTCTCCCACAGTTATCTTTAACATATTAATAGTGATTTTTTTAAATAAATAAAAATCATTCACAACATTTAGTATTTGTACACATGTTAACGTAATATAAAAAGTTTGTTTGTTTGTTTTTTTTTTGTTGTTGTTGTTTTGCTTTTACTTTAATTTTGATTTTTTGAGAGAGTATTACGTTATTTACATATAAATACTGCAATAGATTAATTTTTGAAGACAGCTCACAAAAATTACACAGCGCAATGATTTTAAAATGAAATAAAAAAGCTTTAGCACGGGAGACAGGGGAAAATAATACCAATAACTTAAACAAGAATTTAAATCACTGTTGACCATCAGAGTCCGCGATAGACTGACCTTGACTGTCTGATATGCGCGATACACCACGCAGGATAGAGACATGCATTACCAATCTAAGCCCGCGCGTGTTACAACATTATAATTTGAAACGAATGAGAGTTGGAACACTCGGAGTTCCTCGGATGGCTTGTACCTTGCACATGACTGAATGGAGCGTAGCGGAGTCAGCCGAGGATTGCCGAATGGTGTTGGAATTATGCATGTAGCAGGAAGTATCTGTGCATGACATTGTTTATATTAAGCATGGAAGATAAAGTGTATGCAACTATAAACTTTTTAATAATGGAATATGTTGCAATAGACATCTACCTGAACATGTGCTGAATGATGATAGATCTAAGGATTTTATTTGACCATAAGGCTTGCAGAAGACGAATATATATTGGCTTTACAACAGTTACAATGGTAAGTCGCATTTATTTTGAAAGTGAGATAGGTAATATGAAGAATAATTATGTCTCTGTCTTGATGGATAGTTTGTTGATGCAGTGAAGATCATGTTTTAAAGTATCAAGATAAATAAAAGGTACAAGTACAAAATGGGTTTATAATTTTATGAAGATCAGCATGTGGTTTCCTGTTTTATTTGTGTCCTTTCTCTGTCAAGTTAATTTTGTAGCCCCCCCCCCTCCCGAAGCAAAAACTTTGCAAGTACAAATTGAATGCGTTAATATTTGTACACGTACATTATATGGTTACATAATCTTCCGTCATCTTCACTTAAAAGCTTTTGTACATTACTTTTAATATTAGGTTTACGAAAATATAATGTAAGGTTATCTCAAGTTTTTCCAAATCATACCCCTGTCGGTAGTGTGCGGTTATAACAGTATATCAAAGTTATGCAAGGAAGAAATATCAGGATATTTTATTTAAAATCTTAGACTAGAAAAGCCGAAATTAGAAAAAAAAATATTGAAAAGTATCCTCAGGAGATGTAGATACAAACATGTTCAAAGCATCTGCCTAGGGTCTGGGCAATGCAATTGAAAAAAAAAATGCCAGGAAAGCTTTCTTATTTAATTCTTTAATCTGATATTAGCAATGTGGCCTTTGGGCCTCTTTCTCAAATTCTGTTTACTTAAATTGAATTCACTTGATTGTCTAAAATATGAAATTCTATAAAATGTATAAAAAAATAAAACATTAAAATTTTGTGCACCATACACGGAATTTGTACATTTACTTTTATCATAGGGCATAAGATGATGGTGATAAGTCCAGCATTACTGCAACTACGTACCAAGATGTCTCAGGATTAGAAACAGAAAAACGGAGATGTCTAAAAATACTATTGTAAAGAGACCAGAAAAAAGTGTTAAACAAGATATCACCGATGTTATATTGTGATGATAGTTTTAACATTTATAAGCAAAATTTGTACTTTTACTCAAGAAAAATCAAGGTGAATTACATATTCAACAGTTTAATTATGAAAGGATGGCTAAAACGTGTTAAAGAAAATTCATATCAGAAGACAAACCAACTGGAAAAGGAATACCACCTTCCAAACATAATTTGCAAAAAGTCAGTACATGTAATTCGGGCCTTAGCTCTTGCAAACCATACCATAGATGTGAAAAGGGACATCAATGTTAGGGATAAAAATGTATTATATCAACTCTTGCGATTGTGATTGTGTTGGACTTGGATGTATAATTTTAAACTCTATTTGGAATGACTACATAGTCTATTGATGATGAATTCATTATCTATTTTTAAAGGTTTTGCTTTTTTAAAAATTATTTTTAATGGTGTTAATTCTCATGGTTGACACTTTTACTTGTGCAGCATTCATTCCTAATGCTTACTATGTGTGTATTTTAGAGAACTAGAGTTAGTGTATTTTGATTGCTTCAGTAAAAAAATTCATGAAGGGATAAATTAAATTGAAATAGTTAGTCCAATAATATATTTTGGACTCCGATGGTAGTAGTTTGCTTAAGTGTCATGCTCGGATACGCATCCCATTGCAGAACGTGTAATACAGTAGGTGCAGACACGGAAAATCGCCAAAATCGTAGGGCAGTTAAAGAAACAAACTAAGTATTTTTTTGTTTAAAAAATCAAGGAAAGATTTGTTTTTTCTTCTCTTTATTAGCAGGCAAATAAAACGGTAAATACCGGGTAATTTTTATAATGTTTATATAACATTTTGCCTTTACTGGAGGATTCACATTTGTTTTGAAAATGTATACACATGTATACAAATCTTTGAAATTGTATTTCATAAGTAATTTAATCACATGTTCATAGTTCCACTTATTATTGAATTGCGAATGTGTCAACAAAAAGTAAAGAGAGTGTAAGATGTATATTTTCGACGTTTTCTGGTGAATCCACCAACTTTTTGTTCATGTAATATAGAAAGGAACTTAGTCATTGTAATTGAAATCTACAAATGTTTCTTTGATTAATGTTTTGGTGGACCCACCAAACTCCCCACTTTAAAAAATTAGGCAATGCTGATAATATAATGTAAATCATTCAAGTATTCGGTTTGTTTTTGGTGGGTCCACCAAGTATTTGTGAGTGAAATTAAGGAAACCTAGGAATTTGTTTTTCTACAGGTTGGTGAGTCCACCAAACGACTTTCTATATTTAGAGACAAATTAGTTGATCTTTGAGTTACATGAAGATTTTCGAATTTTCTGGTGGACCAACCAGGTTTTTGCTCTTGTGTACATAAATGTATTAGGTGTCTCTACGTTATTTTACAAGAGAATTATGATTGCCTTTTGATTTTAATGTCTTTGGTGGATCCACCAAACTGCCTAATATTTGTGAAAACTAGATAATCTTGACAGTGAATCATTTAAGAATTCTTGTGAATTTCTATTCGTATTTTTGGTGGATCCACCAAGTATTTGTGAGAGAAAAAATGAATGTCTTGTTAGTTGAATTTTTGCATTTTGGTGAGTGCACCGACTCTGTATAAAGGACGTTTTTTATACGGTTCTACAAGTCAGTTTCTCTCAAAGGTTTGTTTCAGTATTTTAAAACTGGTGGATTCACCAACGGCATTTTTAAAATGTTATCGAGAATTTCACCACATTTAATGTTTTTGGCGGAACCACCAAAATCCCCACTACTGATAAATACACTTGCTATATCTATTTCATGTAATTCATGTATTCTTAGGTATTCATCTTCGTATTTTTGGCGGACCCACCAAGTTTTTGAATGGTTAACTAGAGAATTATGAATTGTAAAAGTCACTCTTGTTTTCTTGGTGGTACCACCAAGATCAATATTTTTTTGGATATATTCTTAATTCAAATTGGTGCACTCACCAGTTTTTGACTGTTAATATAGAAAACCGATAAATAATTTGTCTGTTTTAACATAAAAATTGGTGTTCTCACCAATTCTCAATGTATTCAATCATGGCAATGAATTATAAAAAATTTTGATTGCTGAAATTGCATTGTCGTCATTTTTCATTTTGAATTCAAAAAAGAGGACACTAATAGAAAATCCTCTTTCTTAATGGAAACAGTTAAACATATTTTCACACGGATTCATCGAAGGAAGTTAAGTTTGATACATGTATATGATACAATGACTTTAAATAATAGGCCTGGAAAAATAATTTTAAACTTTAACGTACATGTTGAGAATGCATGAAAATTCTTCGTTTCAATCTTTTCTGATCGTTTAATGTCATCAGTATATCTACAGATGGTAATTTTGCTATATTAAAATGACGTAAATATAGACATGAATCATACTTGCATTAACCCGCAACAGAATGGAAATTACTTTTCATCCTTTTGCACTGAACGATACAAAACTAAAACAATTTTACCTCACCTGAGCAGAAGGCTCAGGTGAGCTTATCTGCTCAAAATTTGTCCGTTGTCTGTCGTCGAAAACTTTTCCCATTTTCGACTTCTTCTTAAGAACCACTGGGCCAATTTCAACCAAACTTGGCAAAAAGTATCCTTACGTAAAGGGAATTGACGGTTGTTGAAATGAAGGGCCACGCCCTTATTCAAATGGAGATAATTCAGAAATAGTGAAAATATGAAGGTATGTTTTAAAAATCTTCTTCTGGGGGAATGATCCTCAGGTAGTGTAGATTTAGGTTTGTTCAAATGATGACCCCTTGCGGTAGGGCGGGGCTTCAATGGCCGATCAAAGTTTTACATAGAAATAAGTAAGAAAATTCTTTCAAAATCTTCTTCTCAAGAATAGGAAAGGCATGAAGGATCATATTCATTTGAAGCGTAATGTACATTCAATTTTGATCAAATCATGTCCCCTTGGGGTAGGGTGGGGCTACAACATGGAGTACAAGTATTACATAGAAACACGTTGAAAACTCTTTAAAAATCTCTTTTTCAAGAACAGCAAAGCCATGATCACATGGAAGCATTCTCAGGTAGTGAAGATTCAATTTTGTTCATGACCCCTGGGGGTAGGGCAGGACCACAATGTAAGTTCAAATGTAAAGGGCAATAAAGCCACAGGTAGTCAAAGAAATATGTAAGCATCCTTTGTTAGTGTAGATTCAAGTTTGTTCAAATCATACCCTCTCCTTTTAAAAAATTGGGACCACTATTGGTTTTAAACTTCTCAATAATAAACTGATTTCTGCTTCTTTTCTAGCCACATTGCTCAGGTGAGCGATGTGGCCCATGGGCCTCTAGTTTCTTTCTTCTTTTTATTTAACCTATGCAGAATTGGAGATAATATAGCATTGAAATAAAAACATTTATACTTAAAATATTTTTATTTAAACCTTTCCAATTTTCTAGATACAGTTTAAAACACTTATAAAGTGTGTAACCTTAACAAAACAAGCGTAAAATTTACCTATATTCCAAAATCTTCAGTATTATGAATGAACCAGGCAATTTACCTTTGTTAAAAAAAATTATAAGCATAAAAAACCTAGAATGAATCCCAAGACTTTTGTATGTGATTTTTCTTTAGAACTTACATAGGTGTATGAATATATAAGATAGTAGCAAAAAACTGTTTATATGCTTTCCCTCATTCCTTCATGTTGAGAAAATCAATTTACACAAGAAGGTTATCAAAGTGTAGCCCTTTCAACTAATTTTTCAAGTTGAACGTATAGTAAAATCATTTCATTGATAGATTTATACGTACATGAAAATATCAAAAAAGATACGAACGTATGCAAACATTCAATTAAATAAGTAAAAAGTTTAATTATTTGTAATTGAATTGCACGATGGCATGTTTTAAGGACAGGTAACTCAGGTGTAAAAAATAACCAACTAAGTGCCGATTAATGAGTAATCGTTTATAGGAATGACATATAGGCTACTAAAGCGTTGACCTTAAAGTAGCAGAATGTCTTTACTCTAACTAATGCCTAGGTCACGTTTCCCGGCCGGTAGCTGTAGACTGGTGGTAATCGGTAGTAATCCGTGGTGTTAACGATGCCTTAACATCGGTCCACATCGGCCTAGTAGTCCTAAAAGTATCAGTCACTTTATCCAGCGATGGGCATACGATGGGCAACCAATGCGTTTTATGATAAAAATGGCGTGGTTGCCGGTGTAACGTTGAATTTTGACCCGGGTTGAAAATTGACCAGGGGGTCATTTTTCAACGTTGAATACTGAGACCAAAGGTGTTGAATTTAGACACTAATCCGTTGAAAACTGATCCGGGTTGTGGAATTTTGATCATAAAACCGGTTCAAAATTCAACAGCATAAAAACACATATTTATGATTGGGTTTTCACTACTGTGACTTAATTCATATGTATGAGGCCCCATTTTGGTATTTACTGGAAAAAGTAATATCACCTATTTGAATAAGTGATATCACCTGTTCCAATCGTAGAAAACGCATGAAAACTGGGTAGTCCGAATTTTCTTGATTCCAGTGGTAATCTTTATATTATAGGGAACGTTCATTAATTACTGTTGTAAGAAACTCAAATTTGGTAATATCACCTTTTCGAATAGGTGATACAACTTATTCAGATAGGTGATAGAACCTATTGAGCACGAAAAGGTGATATCACCTTTTATTCTAAGCTCTCTGACTTGATCACATGATTAAGTATATAACAGCATAAAGACTTGAGTTACTATTTATAGAATCTGAAATGCATATTGACTGTTTTTTTTCTTGTGATCATATGCTATATTGCAGGAGTCCTTTTAGAAAATTTCATTAAAGTGAGTGACTTCGATCCCCCCCCCCCACCTGCCTGGTTTTCTCATAGAACAAGTGCAAAAATGGAGATAATTTTTTGTAGAAACAGAAATAGTATTGATTTCTCAATTAAAGATAATATAGAATATGAATTGATGTTTCTGTAAAAAAAATTACTACAACTTGTATTAATATTTTTCAATGTTCCGTAATTGATGAGACGTAACAATGCCTTGAAGTCTTTAATTAGGATCTACATGTACTTTATATTAAAACATATTGGAGTATTCTGAATAACTAAATCCTCTATAATTACTCCACCAATGTATAAAACGAAACACGTTTATTTAATTTTTAACAACAACAGCTTAATTTATGCTGATCCCTAGTCTCCAAGTCTTGAAGAGAGAAAACTTGTGCCTTATTCCCAAAATTTTGAAATTTTGTTTTGTCAGTCTATGTGATAAAATGATTTATATTCGATAATAATGTGAAACTTTACATTCCTATTTAATTGAGTTTACAACCAATTCTAGTTTAATTTGTCATATTTCTCAGAATGCAATCATGGCAATTATTGAAAAAGAAAGAAAACATCGCATAGGAGATCATAGAGATAAAATTATATAATAAGATGAGAAATTTATCGAATAGGAATCGTATTTTTTTTCGAATAGAAATGGATGCTAGTATGTTTTCGAACAACAACTTTATTGCATATAAACCAAATAATTATCGGATAAAAAAATTATCGAATAGGAATGACAAAATTAGCGACTAGCAACCGATTGTTTTAAATATTAATGACATCGAATAGTAAACGCGTGTTTTCGAGAAAAAAAAAATATGTAAATTTTATGATATTGGCACGCCAAATTCACAAAAAAGAGATAATCATAGTTTCACAATCGATAAACTAGGTTTATCGGTTGTAAACTATAGTTTACGAACTGTAAACTATAGTTAACAACGTTAATCTATA